CACCTGGAACCGAACCCTGCCCTCCACTGAATATCCTTCTGGGAGACTAGGACTGATGGGACCAGTATTGTACCAAATGCCAACATCTTCTTTCTTTTACTTTAGTCCATGGGTCAGTGAATCTGTAGGCAAAGCCTGAGGCTAGGCCACTCTTGCCCAGCCTGGTGCCTTCCATATCTTGTGGACTACAACTCCTAGCATTTCTGACTTGCTGGGCTGATGAGAGCTGAAGAAAAAAAAAACAAGCAGTGGGCACCAGGTTGGGGAAGACTGACTTGGGTCATTGCTAGGATAACTGGCATGAAGACTTCCCTATTTCTGATTCTCAAGCAGCCTTTCCTAGCCTGGTGCCCATAAGAATCTTTGGACAACAACTCTTGATGCCCCAGACCACTGACCCTGCCTGCTAGGACTGATGGATATTGTAGTGAATGTCTAGGCTTTTCTGTCTTTGATCTCATAGCAACAAGAACTAAACAACTTTCAAAAGAAAAGGACGTTCAAAATGAAATGCTTGTAATCTGTATCTCCCAACACAGCGGACTGAAAATGGAGCTCAGAGGCTGATATCTGCATGTCTGCATACACAAGCCCAACTGTGCAACCCTACATGTACCTACTCAGAATTTTGTCCCACTAGGGGTAACTTCATCGTAGCTTACATCCAGGAAAGTAGGCGTAAGGCTACAGCCTGGGACTTATTTATCATCAGACCTTTAAAAAAATGAACACTGTACAAAGGACTTCCCGCATGACATAAATTAGTTCCTGTGATACATTTTTTCTCCACTGGCTCTTAGTAATTTCAACCAAATTAGCTACACTTCACCTTTGCTTTCAAGAAACGGCTTGCTAATTTTAGCTTTGTTTGCACTTTGTGAGATATTACAGCTCTTCCCAGCAAGTCCTTCCCTCTTCACCTACTGTTAACATAAAGCTGACTGTTACCTCTTTGGGGAATTGTGCATTAATGTATCTGAGTAACAGATAGTATCTTAAAGCTTTTGTTTTGATGGAGCATAGCCAAGGCCAGGGGTGGGCAGGGCCAGAGCCCACAGTGGGTGGGTTGCTCTTTTTCTCGTTCTGCCACTTCCTTTTCTTTCCCGTTCAGCAGGCTGCCAGCTAAGAGACAGAGCAGTCCTTTGAGGCGCTCAGCGGGCTTTGGAATTATGCTGAGGGCTGCTTGTGTCCCAAAGGCTGCATGTTGCCCACTCTTGCGAAAAGAACAGGAAAACTGAACTCTTGTAATTGCAGGCTTATTCTTATTTGTCCATCTACACTATTTTGTTAATTAACAGCTAAAAGTGTAGTCTTTGTGTGTATGAGAGAGAGAGAGATTTTTCTTAATAATTTGTGAGGGTTTACAGTCAGGCTGTAAGAAAATAGCCACTTAGTAATACCTAATATAAACCTGCCATGGTACAATGTTCAGTAGCAGTTAATAAAAGATATGCTGACATTTCATAATTGCTTGGGGAATCTGAAATCAATGTCTAGAGGACTGCATATGCAAGAAATTTGCTCTGTATCCAAACACATTCCTTGTCATATTCATGTAAAAGAGTCTTTGAAAACAGTCATATTGATGAAAGATAAGTGAATGTGTCCTTCCTCTGAAGTCGTTTTCAGGATTTATATATTCTGGTGATTATTTTATTTGGCCTTCTAGCAGAAAAATACTTCTTGAAAATGTAAAATATTTTCACAGTAAATCTCCATTTCAAAAATTAATACCTAGTCTGTTCTACTCACTGAAATCAAGCCACGATTTAATTAAAGGAAATCCTATGTGACATTTTATGCCTGAACTGACACACATCTAGTTCAATGGAATTTTCTTCCTAGTAAATGTGTAAGGTAACTTATTTGGAACATTTCTTTTAAATAAAAGGTGTTTAAATGAAAGGAATTAAAACTATGTTTAAGATCAGAATATCAGTTATATTCTGTTATAACTTAAGTACTCAGTTTTCCTAAATGTTCAACTAAATAGAAAGCTTCTTTAAAAACTAATGTTCTGTATATCCAGTCAGATTTATTTCTTACACTTCAGATATTTAAAGCTTATCCATATGTGTTGGCATACTTCTAAGCAGCTTTAAGTCTTTTTAAAGAAGTTTGTGAACTGATGCAATTTTAAGCATTTTGAGCGCTCTACTGGAACCTATTTCCAAGGCCTATTTTTAATGTAAAAAAGTTGCTGTGTTGATGTAGCTGGATATCTGTTTTTGTCATATCTTGCCCCTTTTGTATCTGAATTAAGAACTGTGCAAATACCTCCAAATTATGTCATGCCTGTGGCAGACTGCAATCACAAGTGACATAGTACTGAAGTGCACAGGAGTTAATCCTTCTGCAATGAAACTGGTGTGCATTTTTTGTCATCAGGTTGCTACTGTTCTGTAATATAGCTATTCTTTCCGAGGATCTCATTATCAGAAAAAAGTGCATTCTGCACATACATACATACAATATAGAGAGAGAGCCCAGAACACAGATTGCTGATATAAGACAGACTCTGGGCATCTTCCCCTCACTTGCCACACACAATCCCCTCACTTTAGGATATAAAATAATCCTAAAAGACTGTTTTCAATATCAAACCAAGGGGGGACATTTGTCTGCAGATAGGCCATACAAAAAGACCTAAGGAGTGTGTAATGATTTAAAGTTGAGTGTGTTCTAAATGTTGCTAAGTTTCGGAAAAGCAAAGAGGTGAAGGGGGGGGGTGAGTGAGTGAGGTGATTGGTTGGTGACTGAGAGTGTGGGCGGAGCTTGGAAGTGTGGGAGGGGAGAGAAATAGATACTTCCAGTCAGTCGGTAATAGCCGAGTTATGGCCGATCAGCCTGCGGAAGCCGGAGAGGCAGCCGCCTCATTAGAATCCCAGGTCATGCTGTGGGAGGCATGCGAGATTCCAGAGGAGGAGGCAGAATTCTGGGAGGACATATTTGCGGCTAGGGAGGGTAAAACCTGCCACTGTCATGTATTATAAGGGCGTGAGAGAGAGACGCTGGCAGAAACCTGAGCGCAGAAAGGAAAGACTGGACCTAGATAAATAGAATAAAGATGATCAAAGAACAATCAGGGAGAAAGAAGATTTTGAGTGCAAGGAGTGTTTGTGAAGGGAAAGAGTGTGATAGCTTAGCCAGAAGTTGTTACTACACATTGTTCTACTATCTAAGGAAATAAGTTAGTGAACATCTTGGAACCAATACGTTTCTTGTACAAATCAAGTTTTATTTTGTGTATTGTTAACTCAGCATTGGAGGGTCTTTGAATATCAGTGTCTCATCTTCAGGACCATAGTATTGAGCACAATACTATAGGAGATGTTAATAAGATTGGAATTGAAATTCTGGTAGCAGCGTTACCTACTGAGCGAAAAAGAGGGAAATACCAAGAAAGTTAAAGACACTCTATAGCTTCACATATTATAGGAGAGTACTTGTGACAGGGTGGATTAACAGAGCAGTACACGCAAGGTGCCAGGTTCATTCATCCTGCTCCATATTGAAAATGCAACATCTGATATAAGCTTAGAGCTCTTATATTTTCATCCTATAAACATTTTTGCTTTGCTTAGTGTAGGTAGACAAATCAGTGTTTTGAGGTTCTTTCCCTCCATGCTGAACAACTGTGTGGGTTCAATAAAGTTCTGACAGACTGTCTCCTAAACTGAAAGTTTTTTTGTTGACAACGTTTTGAAATGTCTGGCACATTCTAATAATGCTAACAATGGGAGAAGATACAAAAGGAAAGCAACAAAGAATTACACTGTAAGGGTGCCACCTGAAGAAAAACTGAACAAATAACTGAAATAAAGAGAAGCAAAAGACAAGGGATGACATGGCAGCAGTTCCAAGTATCTATGAAGCTGACCAAAGCAAGCAAACAAACCTGTTCATTAGGCAGAAATTATTAGGGGGAGGGCAATCCAGAAAGTAAAAGGATCAAGTTGTCAAGCAGATTTGCCACTTGAACTTAATTTGTCACCTGATCAGAGATAAATCCCAGGAGCTTTGTGGGATTCACGACCTGTTAAACGTGCTTAGAATACTCGTTCAGAAACTGCTGGGGTTTGGAACTTATTGGCAAAAATATCTGAAGTAACCTGTCTCTAGAATGTTGTGTAACATAATCCCGTCTTGATGGGATTCACAGGGATATTGTAAACGCATGTCTCTTTGTAATACCAAAAGTTTGACAAGGTAGTCTGTTGGACTATAATACTGTAATTCCCAGCAGAAAACACCATCCATTGTACAGAGGTCGTTTGCTTGTTTTTTCGAGGGGAAACCGCTCAGAGGGCATGCCGTTGTACAGCAGCTGTCCTTTTTGAAGAGTAGCGCCCCTTAAATTCTTGCTTGCTCACCGCTTTTGGAGAGCCAGAACCATTTCAAGGAAGAGGTATGTAAGGAGCAACCTTAAGCACTCACACGCATCATGAATCGCCCTAGCCCAGGCATAGCAAGAACTACTGCCCATCTTTCCTGCCTTTCCCACCGACGGCTGCAATCGGAAAAACACTCTTACTAGGTGTTTTACTAAGCCCACGAGACGCGGCGAAACTTGATCGTAAAGAAGCAGCCACGCCAGGGCAACTACAGCTCCGTCTGCTACACTAACCAGCCTCCAGCCAAACGAGCAATTACCAAAGCAGCACCGCACGCGACAGGCGACGAAGGCTTCAAAACGCAGCCTTGGCTTCCGTGTTTTGATGCCCCGCCTCCCCCACGGCGATTGGCTCCTTCCAAAGACTGGCACATGACGACACCGCGGCTTCTTGCCCGCACACGCCTGACCCAACTTTTGCTTTGGCTTTTGGAATCGCCCGCGGTCTTCGCTGCTCATTGGCTGGGAGGGAGACAGGAAATGGCCTGTCAGCGGAAGGTGCAGGGGGAGGAAGTAGTTACGGTAAGCGGAGCCGAGCTGAACTGGGGCCCGAGCCTGAGTAGGTGTGGGCCTGGCGAGCGAGCCAGGCAGAGGAACTGTGTATGTCTCTGTGTGGGTGGCACTGAGGGGTTGGGAAGCTCTCGAAGGCAAAGGGGCTTCGACGAGCCTTGGTAGCGCATATAGCCAAGAGAGGCATACTTGGATGTCATGGGAATAATATGACTTGCCAGAGGAACCAGGAGTCTGCAGTAACGAGTCTAAGAGTATGCTTCCCACTTGGGATGTGAGACACTACTCGCTTCAAGCCCTGGAGAAGTGGGGATGTGGGTGCGGGGGTGAGGAAGGGAGAGAGGTTCCTAAAATGTGAGGCATGATGTAAATGCATTTGCCATTAAGCAAATAAAATATTTGGAAGTGGGGAGACATAATTCATTGGTATACTCTGTGGATGCATGAGTATACCAATTAAACTGTCGATTTAATTGTGGTTATCTTTGGTAGGAGAAAGGGTTGGAGACTAGCTGTTTGAGTAGAAATATTGTGCTGGGTGGATGCATGGTCTGAATCAATATAAGGCAGCTTTATGTTTCGAATTTTCAGTGACAGAGGAAGTTGCAGCAATGACAGTATTCTGTCATGTTGACTGCAACAAAAGATGTGTGATTGCTATTCAAAACGACTAAGCATATGCCCTAGTAGTACGATGATAGGAAGTCATTATTTGGTTGCAACTTAGCTGTCATTGATAATTTTAAAATACTGACATCATTTATTTGAAGAATTTCTGCTCTGCCCTTCAGCTATCAAGTTTCCCAGAGTGGCATAAAGCTTATTCTTAGTATACCCTAAGTATTCCATTGTTAGTATAGTATAAGTAGGGATGAGACTAATGGTTTGGTCCTTGATGGAATTTTCAGTGCAACTTATGAAGCAACTTTGATTAGGGTGAACTGTGACTGTAGTGCCCATGCAGGTGAATGGAATTAGTTATTGCTAATTCTTTGACTAATCCTTAGTCATTTTGATTTGTACTGATAATAATGGACAAACCTGGTATATTTTCCTTATTATAGTGAAATTTGCATAAAACCCTATTTTATAGGTAAGCCTGCTTCATAGAATATGGTTATAAGAATGATGAAGTAGTCTTATATGTAAGTGGTTCAAATATCATTTTTTAAGAAACTTTATAAGTAGGTGTTTCAGACTGTCAGCATTATTTTTAGGATGCCTGTTGATGTATGTAATTGTTATTTTTTTAACTTGGGCAGATAATCACTTAGCAGGCTCAACATGGAGTCTGAAGATGCTGTGTCTCCTGAAAAATTAGTTGAGAATTTGAAGCTCTCAGAAGAACAAAGGAATCCTCCAGAATTTGATTGCAATAGTGCATCTATCCCCCAAATTGATAAAGAAGGGGTAAGTCAGTTGCGTGACTCAGCCAAAGAAGATGATGATCTCTTCCATGACTGTAATGATTCCTTTGAATTGGGAGGAGCAGAAGAGAATCACAACAGTGAAGGTGATGCTTCAGCAAATCCAGAAGATCCAGATGAAAATTACCTATTAGAAATGGAGAAAAACATGCCAGAGGAAGAAAAGCAGGTATGCTACAATAAAAACACATTACAGACAGTTGCATGCACTTTGTAGTTATCTTGGATTCTTGAGTATGTTAATCTCTTCCAGACTCTTAAATTCAATTCAGTGCAATTTGTTTTGCTTGCACATTGTCTAATTTCAGTTCAGCGCAACAGCTGAAAGTTAAATCTCAGGTTGTACTGCTTAGTGGGCAAGAACTTTGAATATAGAGAAGATTGCTCTCGCAGAGTGATATTCCTGAACAGAGGTCCTTATATAGTTATTATAAGAGGCATGCCTATTCTTCTTTGGACTTTTATTGTCTAGACTTCGTCCCTTTTTTCAAGCATTCATTTGGCATCAGGTGTATCCATCTAAAATAGAATAAACATTTAAGGCTTTTTGTTAAGCTGCTTGTTCAACAAAAGGACCAGTGTTTCTATCAAGCAGCTTTCAAGTGCAATGTGTGAGGAAAGGTGAATTCTGAGGTTCTAATTACTGTTACATAAAGAATTCATAAAGATGTTTAAAAATGCTTAGTAGGTTTTAGGGTTGCTATCTTGAGACATGATCAAGCTATTCATGTGTAAACACTATTTATTTCTCTTTATTTTAATGTGGGTTGATGTGCAATAGTGACTCAGCAAATTCTGTTGCAAGGTTTTTGTTTTGCACTTGAACAAAATTACCTTTTTCATTAAACTATCAAGCAACTTCTGTCCAATAAAACTGAATTCCTGGCTTCTAAAATACTCAAAATAAGCAAATGTGTTTATTTGTCTTGCACAATTCTAAATCAGTTAGTCATTGGGAAGAGGAAGAAGATGTGCAGGGTACTTTTATTCTGCCACTGGAATTCCTACACCCTTTACTGTGTCTTAGCCATGGATAAGAGGAAAAAATATTCTTAGGGAGTCACAGTTTTGTTCCATTTGTTGCTGCAATTTTTTCATTCTCATCTTTCCTGTATTCTGTTTCTTTTAAATTACCAACAATATACACCATTAAATGTTGTGTACAAACAACCAGTGAATGTTTGCTGTATTTGGGTGAGGAGGAGTAGAGAAAACCCCTTCTTGACCCTTACTCCTCTGAAAAGAAGCCAAATGGTTAAAGCAGTAATATATGGCTTGAATTGCATCCTTAATCTTACTTGCTGGGACATGTGCTTCTGTTTTGTTTGGTGTTTTTTATAGAGATTTTCCACATTTAAAATCTGCAAAGTGTTTTGGTAAATGCTTTAGAAGTATTAAGAGCATTGAAATGAAATTGAACTTCCAGATGACTGCTATCTTGGTAGTAAGCTCAGTCCTGTGTTGTGGATTGTTTTGGGGCAGGCTTATAAGTGATGTTGTTTCATAGGCCTGTTGCCTTGCAAGCCCTCTTGCTGGTTGAACTCTTATGATGTCACAGAGCCTGAGCTAGGAGGGTGGAATAAGGACAGGGGCCCAGATGGTTGGGAATCTGGCTGTTATGGATGTGAGGATAAAAGGTTGGGAGGGAGGGAGGGACCTGAGGGAATGAAGGGAGTAGATATTATAGCCCTCTAAGAGGAATTGAAGGCCAATGGAAAGAGTAGGTGATCAAGGGAAAGAGGTTTGGAGAGTTCAGGCCGTGAGAGAACAACAAAAGAGGCCACAGGTGTTCATGGCTAGACATCTTCCTGTCTGCAACTTATGGCTTGAGTTCCAGTGATTCCATAGGATAGTAAAGGTTGGAAAATTGTAAACAGACCCCCTTTGGGATAGGAAAGTATGTGATGTTTGTAGTAAGTAAAGCGAAATGACTGGAAGGCATTCTGTAAAGTTTTTTTTCCATGAATGCTAACTGGTTCTTATCTTGCAAAAGTGCAAATAGAAGAAATAGTTATAGACATCAGTGAACATGAAGCTGAATGACCTTTGGAGATTCTTTCTTGTGTAATAGATCATAGTTACTTTCATTCATTTTTCTAGTGACTGATGAATATTCTTTGTGGTAGTCTTTGGAGCTCCAGAATTATGTTCAAATCATCTCTCTGCTTTGTTTGAAGATGTCAGCATGCATTGGCCCCAGTGCCTCATCAGTAAAATGTGAAGGATCTTTTCTCACAGGAAAGCATGCATGATAAGCATTAGTAAAGGTTTCTGAATGGTATTATTATAAGCGTTCTTCCTTGTGCGAGATGGATGTTCAGCCTTCCATATAAGCTAGGCAAAGGAAATTGCCATAGTTCAGATTACTATTATTAATTAAACTCAAGTGTTGCTTCCTGTTACAAAGAGCAATCTCAGAGCAACTGAAAACACAAATACAGAAAACCATAATTAATGTATCAGAAGAAAGCAAAAATCAATGTAAACCATGATTAGTACAATAAAACGTACATACATAATACACAGTCAGTACAAATATGAAAAGTGTTCATATGCAGTTCAGCTTAGAATTACAGTTCCTTCTAATTGCAGGTTTTATTAAACTATTGCCATCATATTTGTTCACTTGAAATAAATGTATTAGAAGTAGTATTGTCTGTATTGCAGAGGAGAAGAGATGAGAGCACAAAATTAAAAGAAGAAGGAAATGAACAATTTAAGAAAGGAGGTAAGCAAGCTACTTAGTATAATTAAGCTAAGGTTAGTGCTATCAAATGATGCTTAACCACTATGCAAAAATATACCATATGTATTACACTGATGATAACCAACTTTTGGATTTCCAGTTTTACCACCACCTCTATTATCCTCAAGTCACTTGGCAGTGGTCAGAGATGGAATTTCACATAATTTGCAGCCCTTATGGAAATTTAATGGATGTTGGTTTTGAAAAGGGACATTTGGAATAGTTTTACCTGGACTCTTTAAAATTGTACATCTGTATTTAGGAATCTTCTTTTAGGGATTCTCACAGTTAAAATTTATACTTTCTTTCCAAAGTATGTAGAGCAAAATTCTTTCATGTGTTTCTAGTAGGCCTGAACACTATATTTTAATTCTTGAGAAAGTTTCTTCCCATTATGAGAATAGAAGAATGTCTCTTTACAGAAATTAGCCATTGTTCCAACTCCTAGTACCTTCTATAAGTAGAGAATGCAAACTCCCTCTCCTCCTGACTTCTTCCCATCCTCTATCTTGCATCTCTTCATGACTAAAATCCCTTTTTCCCTGCATGTCTCACTCCTTTGCCATGATCATGCTCATACTCCAGCAACACAGGAGATAATTTGTCTTTTATTACATTCCAGCAGAAATAAGTTTTCTGAGCTCTTTTTAGTTTTCCTTGTTAGAGTTATTTCTCAAAGACAAATAAAAACACAATTGATGCAAAAAAAGTATTTTCCTTTAAGTGCAGGGCCTGGGGAAGGGATTGAGAGAAGACTTGGGAGCAAGCAACACAGAATGACAAATAAAGATGGTGGAAATGAAGCCCTTGGAGTAAAATGTTTTAAAAGATTGAAAATGTTGGTGCCTGCTTCATCAGTCTTGCAATTGCCTGCCTGAGCAGGGCATCAGAGGATTAATGTAATAGCAGTCAATTGTAACAAGCTGCCCCGGTTTAAACAAGTGTAGCTGGCAGCATTTTGTTGTAATATGCAAAGCTGTTCATGAGTCATGCCTTCCATTTATGCCCTTTCCCTGCATTAGCTTCTTTCTCTTTCTCCTCCTTCCGCCATCATGTAGTGATTGTTTCTCAGTGCCTCTTAAGTTGTTTCAATGTTTGTTTTCTCCTATCCCCACTTGAGGTTTTTTTTTAATTGTTTGGTACTTTATCTGTTTATTGTACAGCTTAAAAGTTTGGTAACCAAATTTCTCTGAGCAATGGATAATACATTATAACATTAAAATAAAAATTAAACCAGTCTAAACCATCAGGAAAGAATAAAACCATCACACCAGCATAGAACCAGCAGCTGACTATGTTGCTAAATACAGTTCTTTAAATGCCTGGGACCATAAAAAGGCTTTCACGTGATTTCAAAAAGTCCACTGTCCACTCTCTGGGGAGGCCCTGGTACCACCACTGGAGGGGCCCTGTTTCTTTACTTGGCAGTCGCACATGGAGAAAAGACTCAAACCGACTATCTTAATGTTCAGGTAGATAAATTTGAGAACTTTGAAGTTCCCTTATGTTTGCTTCTATCTCCCTCTTGTGTGTGGACTATGCCATTTTGGCAATTTAAGGACTGTCAGCTTGGGAATGAATTGTTATACGTTTTGACTGCCCTTGGGACCTAGCCAAATATTCTGCTTCCCATGACTCCACCTCCTGCCCCCTGTAAAGGAAGGGGCAGGGTCTTGCTTATGGTCAAACTATGCTCAAGTCTCTGCCTGCTTTTCCACCCCCAAACTGCATAGCAGAATGAGGTCTTATGCCTGATGTTCTGAGTCTCAGATGCAGAGAGCAGAGGGAAATACTGTTTCTAAATATGTCCAAGACTCCATCCTTATCCTTCCCTAGCTTTGGGAGGACCATGGCAATTTCCACTCGCTAAAAAGATGTGCTTGCAATGGTGGATGGCGTTTTAAACCCCTAGCTATTACTGTTGGTTTCTCTTTGTCTGTGTAGAATTAGATACATGCCAGCAGTTTTAAAAAATGGTAAAATTCCAATTCTTCTGTACCCTGCTCATCAGAATTAAGATCCTGTTTTCCATCATGAGCATATTTGTGGAGTCCTCATTTTTGCATATCTTATCTGTTATGTGCTTTACCAACTTTTCAGAAGGCCATTAAAAACATTTTACCTCTGACTTGCAGACTATAATAGTTCATAATATATTATGATATGATTAACACTGAAGTTCTAGAAGGAGCACAGATGTGCTTTCTATTTATTCCTAATGATTATTGCTAGAATTGCAGTATTTTGTATTAAGAGGTATTTCTTATCCTATGATATGTTTTATTTACATTTTGCCTTATTTCCAGGTTACAAATGGCTTAAAATGGCAGGTTATTCTGTATTTTTAAAAGGAAAAACCCAAATAATTCCAAGAACAGCCCCTTCCCCGCCCCAAATCTAAAACAAAACAGAAAGCAGACAATTGTTTTGATTGAGTCTAACTCCATCAGAAAAACAGAAGAATGAGCAGCTATCTTTTCTCTGGCCAGTAGGAACACAGTGTTGCGCTTGTCTTTTCCTTGCTAATGAATTTCTTGCTGGTTGAGAGTCTAAGATCCCAGCAGTTTTTGGTTCACTGGCCAGTGGATGTGAGCAAGCTGATGCCAGCTAGTCATGAGTAACTGTGTAGGGTCTTTCTGTTGATATGTTTTGTCCATGATCTTCATTGTTTCAGTTGCAGTCTTGAAAAATGCTTCTGTGAGCACCAAGCTGCACAAGGAAATGGATGGAGGGGTGTATACAGTTAGAACGTAACTTTAGAGCCAAAGAGCTTTGCAGGATCAGACTAAAGGTCTACTTTGCCCAGCATTCTCTTCCTACAGTGGCCAGCCGAATGCCTCTTGGGAAGCCCACAAGCCGGACAGAAGTGCACCTACAGCCTTTTGCTCATGTTCGTCAGCAACTCGCGCTGGGGGCGAAGGGACATACGGCCTCTGACACCGGAGATAACATATGACCATCGAGACTAGTAGCCATTAGGAGCTTTATCCTCCACAACTTTGCCTATTCTCCATTTAGAGTCATTCATTTTGGTAGCCATCACTACATCATGTGCCAGTAAATCCCAAAGTTTAAACACTGTGCTGTGTAAAAAAATACTTCCTTCAATCTCTCCTGGATCTTCCACCATTCAGCTTCATTAGATGGCCTAAAACTTTCTCCCTGTCCACTTTCTCTAAGCTATGTATAATTTTGTATTCTTTTATTATGCTTATTCACCCTTTTTCAAAGTTAGGTTCACTCATGATGCATTTTTAATTGGCACAAACTATGATCTTAAAGAACAGAGTCTTTCATATGTCTTCTATAAAATTTGACCCTCTGTAAAAGTTTTTCTCTGCTGCTTGTATAGAAGGGCAAAAAAGGCAAATAGGTGGGAACTTCAGGTGGTTTCGGTAATGTGTGGCTCGCTTCATTCAAGGTGATTGATTGTTGACAGGAACTCTGAATGAATTCTACCCATTTTTGTGCTACCTTCTGCTTCGTCCTGGAATACATGAGTCACCTTTCAGATCACATTTTAAATGACAAATGTGCTTGCTGGAAATGAGTTACTTGAAGAACAACAATTCACCGATAACCATGAGCAAGAAATGAATACATTCTGTGTTGCTCAGAGATATACACATAAACAGTTCAAAAGTTGAGATACCGCTTTTCTCCCAGGCCTGATTAATCGTATCAGTTGAACATTCTAAGCTCAGTGGCCACATTTCAATGCAGAGTTAAACGCACTGAAATCCACTGAAATCAATACTCTTAAATGTGCTAAGGTCTGTGCGAGATTTCAGTCAATGTTTTCCAAGGAAATGTACCAGTTTTGCACTGTGTTCATCCTTTTAAGCAGGACAATGGTGCTGCTAATAGCTATGGGATTATCTTGTTGTCACAGATTGAGTCTGCAGCTTAAAGCAAACTGCAGTGTTGCTCTCTTCCATTGTAACATTTCATTTTAAACTTTAGACTATAAAGAAGCTGAAGATTCTTATGCAAAAGCCCTGCAAGTTTGTCCAGCCTGTTGTAGCACAGAGAGATCCATTTTGTACTCCAATAGAGCTGCTGCAAGAATGAAGCAGGTAACACTCATTTCCAAGATGCTCAATTGGCAAAAACTGACGTGTCAGCTTTCCTGCTTATTCTGTTTTTCAAGTTTAGATAAAATAGGTACTTTGCAGCTTAAGTCATTATTGCCAGTGTAACTCGTTCCTGGAGAGGATGGGAGAAAATGTGAATAGGAAAAGTGAAACCAGGCAGACGTAGCAACACTGTCCATATTCAGGCTTGAACGAGTCTGCCCACACCATGGCCACAGCCAGTCCTCTTCTTGGAAGCTGTGGAGATTGATGGAGCTTGGGCAGTTGCACAGTTGCCCACTTCTCCAGCTGCAAGACTGGAAAGGAGACTGGGGGAAGCCTGGGCCATCAGGGGCAAATTGCCCTCGTGCAAACGCGCCCCAGCAGCGGGGACTGACTGCTGCTCCCTGCCAGCTTCTCCTTTGGTTAGGCAGAAAGGGAATGTTGAATGCTGCTGCTGACAAGTGTTGCAGCTTGTGTCGAGCGGTGGCACCCAGCCATGCTTGCTGCCGTCTCTCATGGCTTTCACTTGGGAAAGGCCGGCTGGCACATGGTGTTTGCCTGTACAAGAACCTTGAATAACCGTACCCTGAAGGAACTGCTATTAGCTCTCAAAAGAAGGCTTGCAAAAGCCAGCTGGACAGTCAGCTCTTGCAATTTCTGGGGGCTGGGGGAGGATTAGATGCAGCAAAAAAAGCCACAGTAAATCTGGAATGGTTCATGATCTGGAGGGAAGGGAGAGCCAGTGCCAGCTGCTCCCATGTGCTGCTTTAGGGCAGCAAGTACTGACAGATGCCTGAGTATCTTTGAGAAAAGCTGCAAGGGGACCTTGCCACTCTTACCAAACAAATAGCTAGCAGATTCCTGATACCCACAAGGCACGTGGTGTTTGCCTGTACAGGAGAGTGGCTAGAAGGTATACCAACAACTGTGAATAACTGAGTTTCAACATGGTGTATTACAGTTATGGTTTCCTGGCATTTGCAAATATTTTTGCACTGATGTTGCATCTAATATATGCATTGATTTTCCAGAAAATAGAAAACCATTAGTTCAGATTGCCCTGTGAACACTTTAGTGTATTTGCATAATGTGGCTTTCTTTGTAGGAGAACTTGCCCACAAATGCCAAGCATTCTTTCCTTAGCTTCTGGTTTAACTAGCCTCCCCTCTTCTCTTTCTGGAGTAAGGTATCCAGAATATGCATTTTCATGCTGTAAAAGTTTAGCTTTGATTAAGTGTCTCTAGATTTTCATGAATGCGAGAAAAATATTTGGTGTCACATGTTCTCTCCTTTCTAGGACAAAAAAGAAACTGCTATAAAAGACTGCAGCAAAGGTACCGTTTTCCTGTTTTTGTGCTCTTTGTGTTGAGTGTCTGTAACCTTCAGGCTATTATCTAGGGTATTGTGTTTGCTTCTGGATATCAGATATGGGAGGGAATAAAGATAAACTGGCAAATACAGTCTGGTATTGATATATGTGCTTTGAAGGAGGGTGTAGTCTAGCCAGTGACACTGAAGTTCCCCTGCTTCCCCTCCCCCTCCAGTGAATGTGTGCTCAGGTTTGAAATGGTGTGGATGACTGAGAGTAGCAGCATGCCAAGTGCCTGCATGGCTGTTGAGCCCGTCACTGAGGCTTCGGGTGAGAGCAACACTTGTGAATCAGTAACACACGGAAACAAGCTGGTTTGCATTTGTCCTACTCTTAAAGAAGACAGAGGAGGCAGATTAGCTGGGCAGGGTGGAGGAGAAAGAGTGCAGCTGAAGTCAAGTGATTGCCAGGATGTCCAGTGAAATGATTTGGAGCAACAAGTCCGAACAAGTGAAGTGTTTGTCTTACCAGTACAGCCTTCCTAACTGCGAAAAGAATTCGGAATTGGAAAAAGTTGCCTTGGAAATGCCATGCTGCCATGGAGGATTTTAAGGAGCATATTTCTGTGTCCTCTGTTGCTGTAATGGATTAGGCTGTAATCCTAAAGAAATTTTCTAATTGGTTGATTACTTTTATCTTAGGATGGATTGAATGTGGATCAAAACATCAGCTGTGAAAAGATTCAGTTTATACTATCAATGTTTAATCAGATTGGTTATTGATGCTTTGGTTATTTTTAAGAAAATAAGAATGACATTAAATTATAAAACATACTCATTGTAAGTAATTAGCTCTACTCTGTGGCTCAATCCTGTGGATGTATACTCAAAGCCAATCAAGTTAATGGAGGTGCTTGTTGCGTTGCAGCCTTAGGCCTTTAAGTAGCAACAGAGCACAATGATATATTTTAATCACCTAGATTGCTTACTATATAACTTAGCTGTGCATGTCAACAAATGTCAAATGCCGAATCCACTTGAGTAGATACTTATACCCAGGGAAGGGCATACTCAAGAGCAACTTGCTAGGAGTAGATAAAATGTTCCCTACCACCTTGATTATTATTATTGCTTTAATTCTGTTTTCTAGCCCTTGAGTTAAATCCAAACTATATGAAGCCGCTACTGAGGAGGGCAGAACTGTATGAAAAAACAGAAAAGCTGGATGAAGCCTTAGAGGACTACAAAAACATATTAGAAAAAGATCCATCAATGCATCAAGCAAGAGAAGCTTGTATAGTAAGATTTTTTCAAAGAAGGAATGGGTTACACCTGTTGAAAATGCCTTTTAAATCTGAAAGTCATATTGGATATTACCTGGCAGGATGCAGTCTGCAATGCTTTTCAGTCTGGGAAAGCACAGCCAAATGACTTCAGCCCCATTTTTCTGTTTCAGCTGGAAGACCAGAACCAGAAGCTGTGGGAAGGCCAGACAAACAATAAGCTTTTGATTCAAATGTCATCTTTGTGGCCAGATGTGTCATTTTAGATTCAAAAGAAGTTGTTCTGGTTTGATTAAGGATTGGACATGGAGTCCTTGTCAGTCAGTTCCTATTGAATGGGGAGGCACTGCCCATCTGCTTGCATTTTAGAGTTTACTTTACTGTTAAGTGTGTCTTACAGGCATAATTCTCGCGGACCTTTGTACATCCCCATTTGACTGCCCTAGGCTTAACTTCAGTTCTGGGGGACAGTTGATTTGCACACTTTATTCTGGTTCCTGAACTCTGTTAGCTGCCTGTCTTCTCTTTAAGACCATTGGACTTACTGAGAAGAAGTTGCTGGCAAAAGAACCTTCCAGCGTGTGTGCATGCAATATGATTTGACTGCTGGTATTCCATAAACTTCATTCTGCCTACCTAGATGATACCGTCAGTGTACAGTTTTTCTCCTTGCTGGTGGAAACTGAAGCTTTTGACTTTTTCAGATAGAAGCTGGAAGATGCTGGTAAAGTTCAAGTTACAAGTGCAGGGGATTCTTCTTGACCCAGATCAAAAGAGCATTTTGGGGGGGGGGGGGGCTTCAGAGTAGGTGCCCAGGTTGCAAGTGCTTGAAAATATTTCCCCCTTCCAGCTGCATTAACTTGTTGCAGTAATTACTGTGAATGATGAAAGTCTAAATATAGTGAAATTAGTCCAAAGGGTTTTTTTCAGTGTGGATGTATTTCATAATGAGGGTCTATGTGGCTGATAGATTCCTGTAGGGTCTGGGAGTTGATTGTAAAATTCTGTAGATTTTTATATCTAACTTCCCATTGTAGCTTGTGCTTTCATTTCACAAGAAATGTGAACTATTTAAATACTCTGGCAGAGAAGTAAAAGACCTAGAAGCTGGCATGTCACCCAGATGAGGGTTTTCTTTTATTGGGTATTTGCTTCGAGGATTACATTTTATTGTTTCCTAACATACTTAGGAAGTATGTTAGGAAACCACTTTCTTTACAAGTGGTTTTGAAGTTTCTTATACTTTTAAGGCTAGGCACATTCAAGAGGTATCTTCTAACTCTAAATATTATGGCTTTAAAGAAGACAAACCTAGAAAACCTCTAGTGATAAATATTTGAGATGGCATAAGGCATAATCAAAGAAGAAACAGTAGGCAGGATCCATCCCTTCCTATGTGCAACTACAGAGCTATCCTTTCCCACCTTTTCCCAATATGTGTAGTGTTGAGAGTACAGCTGTATGTCTGCATTTTTGGGATTGGAAGCCCCATTAGTGTTTTTGCAGTATTATTTAACTGAGAGAGCACCCAGCTGCTGGATCACCCCCATGAGCTTCCCATGTCAGACAGCGGCCACTTGCATTGAAGTGTGTGTGCTCAAGCTGAGCACTCTTCATGATTGGGCCCTCTGGGCATTTTTACACACTGGATGTGCATCAGACTATGCACAGGAGGTAAGTATAGAGCAACTGTACCAACATGTTCTTTGTATAATTGGTCCTCTGTTTTTGTTTTAGCAACTGCAGAAACAAATAGAAGAACGTAATGAAAAACTGAAGCAAGAGATGTTAGGTAAGTAGTTTTTGTGTCCAGCTTCCTTGTGTAGTCTGTATGTATTGGAATAAAACAAGGTGCCTTTCCTACGCTACCACCTTTGCAGACAAAGAAATGACTTTGGCGTTTCTTTGGGATTCCAAGAAATTAACTTGAACTCTGTGTGTGTTTGAGGAACCAAGCATTTTGGAACTGGTCTCATCCCTCCACCTTCACAAACAGCACATGTATGTGCACGTGGTGTAAAAGCTGTTAGGAACTATATTGTCCTATTGAGTATAAGGATAGCACAGAAGTAGAGATTAGGCACTGGAACCACCTGTTCTAATAGTGCATGTGTGTGTGTGTTCTGTTTTCCCTGCCAGAGCTTTGAGATAGGGGTATTTGCAATGGGTGTACCTGGTCCTAGTAGGGGAAGAAGTAGGGCCCTCTCCATAAATGCAGCCACAAATATGCAGCTTGCACTCAGAGATCACTGCCATGTTGGGATGAGACCTGCCTGAGGAAGCCGTGAGCTGTATATAACTGGCATTGACCTGTGTGTGGAGACATAGTTTTGGTTGTAATTCACACCATATGTGGAGCCAATGTGTTCATGCATACCCAGAAACAAAAGTTTTATGTTACGTTCAGGCATTTGGACAATCTTGGTTTCAGCAAGTGAGCCTTGCTACTAATGTAGAAAATCTCGGTTTCTGATCGTTCCGTCTTGTAATCTGAAAGACGAAATAAACATAGATGAAAAATGATTGGCAAAAACCCCTTGAAACAACACTGGGATTTAGAACTGTTGAACCTCCAGATACCTTTGGAGGGAGAAATTAGGAAAATACCTTGCATGAACCAGTGGGAAATCTTTGCAAATGCTTATGGAAATTTCCAAATAGCTTTTAAAAAATGGAAATGTAACCCATTTGTTTGGGTTTTGTGGCAGCATCTTCTGAGATGTTTTGATAGCATATCCCCCTCTGGATTGTACACAGTGGTCATCACCCATAATGTGAGAGAGAGTTGAGTTGTACCAGTTTTTCTTCAAACACTTGTAGTTCAAAGATACACTGTACAGAGAATTTGCCTCTCTGCATGTGCTGCTGAACACAATAGGTAGTCATTCAAGAAAGTCAGTATCCAGAATACAGAGATCTCGACTTGACTTGCTATGCACTTTTGATAATGCATCATCAGGCTTGCACGGTTTCCTTTGGTGGGATGCCGTGTTTCAGCACCATCACAAGCAAGGAATGGCATATCCTATAATAGGAATTCATCAAAGTTTGCGAGTCTCCAGTGGTGATCCCATGGTTCTCAGGTCTCCCCTGTGGTCCGTTGGTGCCTTAGGTGCTGCCCACTGCCGCCAGGTTTTCTGGACATGGTGCCTTGCACTGCTGTAGCCTGCTGTACTCTGGTGTCTCTCTCAACAGGTTTCCAAGCATGGAGAGGAGAGTCAGTATTGCCCAGAAAGGGGGATTTGGGATGGGAGGTTTAACTACTGCCATCCTTCAGGATCCCTTGCCACTTGAGGTGCTATTAAGCTTTGGGAAAAAATGAATAGCAGTGCAGGGGGAGGGGAGAGATCTTCATGCAGATCACGAAGTGTGCGATGATGGGAAGAGCAGAGGACCCCATGATCTGCCCTGCCCACTGCAAGGATGCTGTCTCTGACCCATGGCCCAGCTCTGTGTGCAGCCTTGAAAGGCGAAGGTGGTGCCTTTGTGAGAGCTGATAAAACTTAAGCAAAAAACATGATTAACACTTCTCTGCTACCTTTCAACTAAGGAAGCTAGGTTTTATTAGTATCTGCACTGCAACACTTTAAGGACAGCAAGGGTGTATGTAACCCAAAACTACTTGCTTTTCTTTCCAGCCATATTTAAATTGTTCTAAACAATATATAACAATGTATTATGTTACTGCATGAAAGCCTATCAATAGTATACTTTAAGCTTAACTGGACTTTGTAAAGAAGGCTAAGTTCTTATTGGCAAGTAGTGGTAAGATGCCTCAACAATAAGATGATTCAAGAGAAAGTCTTCTGCTAGTTCTCTTCTTGAGCATCTGTGCCTGCAGTGCTTTAACTGCAGTCATAGCTGTTTTTCCTAATTCTTAAGCTTCTGGTGCTAGGCCAGTATTGTTTTCAGTTACACAAGCTTTTCTATACAAGCTTGTTTTTATGTGGAACAGGGAATGCTTATTCAACACAGACTTTGCCCTCTTATTTCTTACCCAAAGCTTCCCTTCATTTTGCTACTTTCTAGTCTTCAAGTAGGCCTTAAATGGGCAGCGTTGGGTTTTGATTCTTTGCCTGGTTTGTAGCTTCTTGTTAAAAATCAATCTTGAAGGATACTACTCATTTCTAAACAGGTGCTGTACAGTAGAGGGGTGCAGAAGGTAGTTCTCTAAATATTTTGGGATTCAACTCCCAGAAGCCCCTGTCAGCACAGCTAATGGTCAGGAATGCTGGAGTCGAGATCTAGCTTCTGTGCACCCCTCCTATGGGAGTTACCTTTGGGTTGGCAACTCTTGACCAGTAGGGTAGTCACAGCCACTCTGCGAACTTAACATGTTCCTTCCATGTTTGCAAATCTTGTGTAGTTTCTTCACATATTGGGGGATTTTTTATGTATTGCAGGAAAACTGAAAGATCTTGGGAACTTGGTTCTCCGCCCTTTTGGCCTCTCAACAGAAAATTTCCAGGTGAAACAAGATTCATCAACTGGGTCATACTCAATCAACTTTGTTCAAAATCCGAACAACAACCGATAACATAAACTCAACCCATTTCTGATTTTTAAATATGGACTTGAAACTTAATGGTGTTGTGTTTACAGTGAATGCAGAAGAGATGAATAAACATTTAATGCACAACAGCTTTACATGTCAAGATATTTGAGCATAGTCCTATGCATTTTTCTTCTGTGGGGTACTTTGAACAGGTGTGGACAACAGAGGGAAGAAGTTTGGCCTCTGTGGTAATATTATATGCACTTTATTTTGGCACTCTGCATCTTCCCACTTCTGAGGAAGGGCGAGGGGAGTTTAGCTTTGCTAAATAGAAAAATCCCAGTGCTCCCATACCTGTATTCAAAGCATAACCATTTTGTGTTTTGCAAGCGTGTGAGAGGGCCCCTCTCTCTCTCTGTAGAGAGGATACTTTCATCTGAAGTGTAATAAAACATTGATGCTACCGTGGGCTGCATTTTCTTGCCTTTTTATCCAAAGCATCTGTATTACTGCTTTTCAGATTTCTTGTTAACATGATGTAAAATAGCATGAATTAATGTTAAGTCAGTTGCTTCTATCAAATCTGTGCTTTATGGTACTTCAGTTCTAGCAAGGTCCTAATGCAGAGGTGAGGAACTTTGGTGTGGGGAAAAAGCGTGTCTTTCACAGCTTCTTTACAAGTAAATTTTGTCTCTTTTGATGCTTTGTAGCCACTGTAGCCCCCATTTTCCCTCCAATTTTTGAATAGGGGGATATGCAACCTGTAGGTGGCAGGTTGCCCACCTGTGCTTGAATAGCTGAAGCCATATGATTGGGTTTTGTGAGTGTGTGCATGCATGTTTGGGTGTGTGCTAGGGCCTGGTTGGGCAGATTATAGCAAGCTGCATCAGTGTCCTTACAAAATGGTTGGTAAAACATCTTGATAGGCATGCCATCTTGATAGAAAAGGAAGCTGTATAATTAATTCTCCACCATGTAAAGAACAGTTGTTCCACTCTTAGTATTTTGCACATTGGCTGATGACGCAACTCACAGAACAAAGTATCCTCCTGTGATATCAGATCATAATAGGGAGCTCAAAACCCTGTAACTTAATCAGTGAGCCAAAGCCTAGAGTAAAGTAAAGCAGTAGGCAAAACACTCATAAGTAATAGATTGTTCCCTAATTTCATTATTCTGTTTCAAAAGGATAGGAGGAAAAGATTTTCACCAGGTACTGAAAAATAAAAGATTTGGTTTGCATCCAGTGAGTGCTCTGAAAAGGAGCTATGAAAAATGAGGGGAAGTTAATATCTCTCTTTGAAATAGCTGGAGTCTTGGAAGTGTTGAAAATGTGGAGGACATAATTATCACTTAAAAGCTTACTGTCTGTTGTTGCTGCCTTTTTGGTGCAACAACTTTTGCTGTTTTCCCCTCCATTTCCAGTGATTCTCAGTTGACAACTTAGCAATTGATTGCTAGCAACTGTGTGCAAATAAGCCTATATGTAGTTTTGCCTTGTCAGTTTCTATGTTGGTCACATATTTTTCAGCTTTCTTCAACAGCTGAAACATACAAAAAATTTACCTGGAAGACTATGCATGTCATGCAGCTGTAAGAATATGCTTACAAAAAAAGTAAAGTAATAAAAATTATGAACATTGTTGCACAGTTCTTATAAGCCTAAAAGGTGTCTCAGATTGAGCTTTCTAGGGACTCTGAGTGGGAGGAAGAAATGAAAGGGGCATAGTGGCCAAAGTTGGGAGTGGGAGACAAGATAGGTTCTGTGAGGTACACCGGGCTACTCGCTGGAGAACTGAGGGGGAGAACTTGCCACAGTCATCCAAGTGTTCTACAAACAGCCCACCCTGTGTAACAACTTTGTAGGCTGAATTAGCATATTGTGCAAACCTTAGCCATAGTTGGCACCAGCTGCAGTGGCCATGGAGAGTACGTTATGCTGAGTGCCACCACTGAAAAACACCTAACTTGGGCTGAACACTTGCATTACTGAAAGTGCTGCAGCAGGCATGCAGGCAGTTGACACAGCAATCCTCTGCTTATTTGTTCAGACATACCCTCCAGTGAGAATTATTCCATAGTAACTGTATAAGATTGTCACTGAAGTTTACTAAGCTTTTGCTGTCAAGAAGCAACCAGATGAAGACAAGGCAAAAAGATAGTTTGGTATAACTTGTTTAAAAGTGCAGAGAAAAAACAAGGCTTTATTTGTATAGATGGTACACAACATTCTTGAACATTTAATTTCAAGCACACTGTAAAAGTTGAATTTTTTCCTTATTCAAGTCAACTAAATGAAGGAGGCATAGTGACACTGTATACAGATGTAGAAGGGAGCATGGAGCAAAGCTTAAATATTAAGCAACTGAAGCAAAAAGGTGAAAAGCAATACATCTACCACTAAAATTTCCCTGACAATATTTCAAAGTGTAAAACAAGGCGGTTGTAATTTCTCAATTCCCCGTGAGCAAGTATAAACTAGCCATCCTGTATATTTTTCACATGTACCCTCCATTTCACCCATAAGGTAGAATCATGCAACTCTCCAACATCCTACTGTGTTACAGATCTGAAATGGGTAGTGCTGGTGCTCTTGAAGGAGAAGGAACAAGAGCACAGACCTCAAGTAGGATGTCATCTATGCAGGCACTGTTGGCCCTACCCATTATCACTCCAGATATGTATACTTGTTTGTACAGCCCAACAGCCATTTTCCTGAGTAGAAACTATTACTTTGTGCCATGGTATATGCACCTCCTCCAGCGGACACATCAAAATGAAAAAAAAAAAAAAAAGATGCAATAAAGCAGCGTTTTGTTTCTAGAGGAAAATAACACTACGCTGGCTCACTGGTATTTTTTTAACCTCCCCAAATTTAGTAATCCTATTGAATGATAAACTGAAGAGAACATCTACATAATTTCCTTTTAGAATTGCAAGTAGAGTACTTCAAAACCCTTTAAAAGTCACCTGCAGTCTTTTGAGAGAAGCAGCACAGTTGACCCTACTAATCATTATCATGTAGGTAACTTTCTGAAATAGGTGCTGTGGTCTGTTTCATAAATACATTTTAATGTTTTCATGGAAAATTACTAAATCTTTAATATATAATTATATTGGACTATTCTTCATACATCTTTCCAATGTTTAGAATGCTATTTAAAAATATAAATCCTTTGCCAAATAAAGTCAAAGGGAAAACATATGATTGCAACAACATGCATGGAAGTGAAGAAACTAACACTTCAGTCCATATTTGCTGGTATGCGTAACTTTGGAAAAGAGTTATTTTCTATTAACTGGGCCATGGTTGTCTTAAGACCGATACATCTCTGAACAAAAAGCATCCTTACGTTTCCATGTATATTTGTATCAGTCTTCAGATTGTGCATTTGTTTTGATCTCACCCTGTCAAGCTCCTGGTGAATCTTACACTACTGTTAAGAAAGTTCAATGCAAGTTAAAAGGTGTGCATACCTTGAAAAGGAGCAGAATAAGAAAAATACTGAACAAGTAACTCCTTTTGATAGTAGGTGCAATTTTGCAAAAATTAGGTCTCTTTCATTGAAATGTGGAACCATATTGAAGTTAAATAAGTCCCACTGAAGGAAAAAAAATGAAATTTATGGGGGTTGTTTCATCATTGTAAACTAACATTGGAAATGCTAATACCCCATCTAGCTAAATATTGCCCCAGTGGAATAGGTTAGTTACGACTGAGTCATGACTAACTTGAAGTGCAATATATTACTGTGCTAGGAAGGAAATGTCATGACTTTGGATAACAGTTACCATGCCATTTATAAAAAAATTACCCTCAACGCTGGCCATCAAAGAAACAATCTCCACGAAGGATCATCTTTGCCATAACCACTCGAGTTAGAGTTTGCGATCGCCGCCGTCTCTATCAAAATCTTGGTCTCAAGCCAGGCCTGGCAGTACTTGTCACCACAGTTGAATCTGGACATGCTTCGAGTCAAAGGTTACAGCTCTGCTAACACCTGCACTAAAGACTAAAATTTGTTAAGATGTAAAATATAACACGCTAAGAACAAAAGTAAATGTTCAGAAGTTTACAGCCAACTTTCCAGGTATCTTGACTCCATCGCTGGGGCCTATTCAGACTATCACATTTGAAGAGTAAGAGTACACTTTGTGATTCTTCATACTAATAATTCAAGTGGTTCCTTGCATGTTCAATTTGAACAGGCTCCTTGGCTCATGCCTTATTTATTGCAAAAAAAGTTTACAAAATATTTCTAACTTCAAATTCCAAAGTAAAATGTACAATAAAGATAGGTGTCTTGGAAAAGGGGGGAGTTTCTGAAAAAAGGTTTCTCTCCCAGTGTACACCATGATCTAGATCTCAGAGGAAGTGAAATTTCAGACGTATGTCACTTCTGGTTAGCTGACCCACTTTATGCCAGTGTTGGAAGGTTCCATAAATACAGCAGGTGATTTAATGTCTCTGAGCTGGAAAGGAGAGAAAAAGAGGTACAAGTTACTGATCAATGCCTATTTCTAGATTTCTATATAGTCTTATAAGAACTTCAGAACAGTTGATATTTCTCAGAAGACACAAGTTTATTTGTCTGATAAAGTAGCTGGGGAAGAAGTTTTACTATGCTCACACAAACCCAATATTTAACAGAGCACACTCAAAAGCCCATTGTCATACTTTTAAATGTCATCCAAGAACCCTGCTCTGCAAGCTTGGTCAGTATTATTTGTACGGTGCAGATGAAGATGACTGCTTGGTGCAAGACCACATGATTAGTTTATGGCAGAAGTAGCATTTAAACTCAGGCCTTCTGATTCTTAGCTTGATCTCTTAGCTCAATGCTACACCAGCTCTCATCTCTGTAAGGCTAATTACTGCAATAAGTTGAAAGGATGTAATTAAGACACGTCTGATTTCAGTATGATTTAAATAGGTATTTAACCCATAGTTCTCTGAATTTTCATATAATGTGTTAACTGGATACATGTGCCAACACCCCACCTCCTCTATGTGTGTGAAATTGCCAAGGAAGACTTTATTAGACTTCAAAAGTAGAAACTTGTTTTTCAAAAAGGAGAAGAAATAAGAGAGCATGGTAAAATAGAAGCTGAAAGAGGAAATAAAAGGGTCAAATATTTCCAAATGATTTGGGGCTCCTGAAAACCACAATAATTGAAGCTTGACTGGAATGTATACTGTTGGACTGTATGCACAAAATCCAAATCAGTCACCAGCATGATTAACAAGAAGTGTCAAGGAAAATATTAGACTAAATTAGATTTCCTTCAGAAAAGGAAATGTACAAATGCAGGTTGGGGAACAAGGAAACTTGTGGTGCATTCTACTAAATACTAAGGCCAATAATAAGAAAAATGTTTTAAATACATCTGGAAAAAAGAAAAACAGTTAGGAAGGCAGTTATACTATAGGACAGTGATGGCAAACCTTTTAGAGACTGAGTGTCCAAACTGCAACCCAAAACCCACTTATTGCAAAGTGCCAACACTGCAATAAAACCTGAAAACTGAGGTTTTAGTTTAGAAAAAACAACTTACAGCCAGTCCAAGCAAATACATATATAACCTTGGCAGCGCACTGACCGGCCATGCGAAAGCTCAGACGAGTCGTGGCTAATGAGTTGCAGCACATGACGTCATAGCCTGGTGCTGCTACTCCATTCCGAGCATGCACATGGCCCTTATGTGCGCTGTTATCTGATGTTCAGCTGCTGGGGCGATGCTGGAGCAACTTGGCTCATGTGCTGACAGAGAGGGCTCTGCGTGCCCATTGCGGCACGTGTGCCATAGGTTCGCCACCACTGCCATGGGACAACAGGGGAGTTTAAAGGGTATGAAAAGAGGATAAACAGACACTGAGTAGCTAAAAGAATTCTTTGTGTTTGTGTTCACTGCAGAAGGTGCAGGGCAGAAACTGCCTAACTAACACTTTCAGGAAGAGGGCCTGAAGACAAATACTAGTGGTAAGGAATGAAAGTCTATAATGAAAGTTTCGTGTTGACAAATGAAATTAAACAAATCACCTGTTGCATTCTAATATTCTTAACCCAAATATGAAATTGCTGATCTTCTAAAAAAAACCTGAAACATGTTCCTAAGTTCATGTGACATTGTGGTGCACCAAAGAATTGGAATGTGGCTGACATCACACCAGTCTTTAAAAAGAGATCTGCTGGGATCTGAGAAGTTACACAGTAGTTAGTGTGACATCAGTTCCAGTTAAATTGGTTGAAAACATTTTTTGAAATTAATTATCAAGCATGTACAAGGGATACGGCTTCTGTAATAGTCTGTCTCACTAACATGCTGGAGTTCACTGTGAATAGTGACCATGTCTGACAATAAACATATTATGGATAGAGTGAGTCGGTAGTCGTTGGAAGTTGTTCAACCAATATTCAAGTTGTTTTTGTGGTTTGTTGTATCCTCTGAATCCAAAGGCCTAGGGTTTTATGAGAGTTTTAAAAAAACTTTTATAACCCATGGTCCATGAGGTTGTATTACACAACAAGCTGTGGTTGTGGCTTGACTATTTAGGATATCAGCCATGGGCACTGCATCTCACTGTAGCTTAAATAATGCTACAACAAGCTGCAAAGATCTTGTGAACCCCATCTCTAAATAAGAAATACAGTGCTTTGTAATAATTTGCTACAAGGAACAGATGTGACAGAAAATCCTGGAAAAAACACAAAGAGGGAAAGGTAGCTTAAAAGGAGAAGCAATATTTTCTCAGTCTCTTCTACTAATCTATGAGGAAGAGCAAGCTTTTAATACAAGACAGAACTGCACACTTCTACCTAGAAAATAAATACCTGCAGAGGAGGCAAGGCATTGGCAACACTGAGGGGAGTACTGACGGTACAGCCAAACTCAGTAAGCTGTATCTAAGAGGTACGTTGGATGACAGGCACTTCAGCTTGTGGAGTGTGCTCCCCAAATTCCACTAATTCTCACTTCCTGCTCTGGCAGGAACCCCCAGCACTTTGTCCACCCAAGGCTCCCCATTCCTGCACCTGCACAAGTTCAGACATTCATAGCTGTACAACTGCTGGTCATAAAAACATTTGCATAAATGGGGAGAGATTCAAATAAACATTTGGCAATCTTGGGCAGTCTTTTCAAGGTGCCACTGGGGCACCTTGACCTGTCTGTAGCTCTCAAAAGAAGGATCACAAGTCAGCTTGACAGCCAGCTTTTGCAATTTCCAGGGATGGGATTAGGCGGGGCAAAAAAGCCCCAGAGACCAAAACAGCTCATAGTCTGCAGGGGAATGAGGAGAGCCACTGCCAGCTGCTCCCAAGTGCTACTTCTGCACTTTTGGGCCACTGGAACTGATAGATGCCAGCGTGTGCTTGGTAAAAGTTGCAAGGAATGTTTTGCCACTCTTGCCAAGCAAATAGCTAGCACTGGTTACCTGGAACTGGACAACAGGCCAACCCACTACTGGCACACCAATCTTAATTCCTGATAAAAAAAATTAACAGAGAATTCTAGACTGGAAGAGGGCATCTGATCCTTCCTTAATTTTTAACGCCTACCTTTTGGCCTCTGTAAGTCGAGTATGTTCTGAGGTCATCTGTCTTTGGTTTGATTCGTGAATACGAGAGTATAGTCTTATTTAAAGATTAATAATAATCCTGTATGGTATAGTCTATACTTTTGATAATCATCCATCTTGAGAAGTTAATCAGTATTTTGACTGATTTAAAGAAAGTCTACTTGACAGATTGGGTTCTCCCAAAGTATACGTAATCTACCACCTACTACACTCCTAGCTCTCAAAATGGGTAGAGAAGGCAAAAGCAGCTGAAGTTTGTTTGTTCACAGCAGCTTATATATGACATAAGCACTCAGATGGAAAACTCTGCATATCTTTTAGGCTGCAATTCACTGGGCCTTATTTCTGGATAGAAATAAGACCTAATGTATTCAGTACGGTTTACTCCAAGAAAGTACTCATGGGATTGAAGCCCAAGATGGTTATTTATTATACTGCCAATGAATCTTTGCAACAAACAAAAGCCCAGCTATTACCTTCCACACTTTGGGTTCTCTTGTTCACAATCCGATACAGTCACATGAGTGTTAAAAATGAATGTTCAGCAGGAAAACACCCCTCTTGGTAAAAGCTTGGTAAAAGCCTCTCAAGAGTCTTGTTGGCTGGGCTCTGCTCCTTTAATTAAATCAGCTGTGGCCAGACTTGATAAGATACCAGGATCTGGGATTAGAGCTTCAGCCATCTTTTTTTTTTTTCCTTTTTGCTTAAAGGCACTCGGTTGTGTGTGTGGATGTAGCTCAGGGCCGAGGGAGTTAGTCCTCTATGGAAAGTGCTGTTGGCTGCCAGGTCCAGGCCAGCTGACAGCAGCTGGGTGGGAATGCAATTTAAGTAGGGGAAATGTCACAAAGGGAAGTGTTAAATCCCCTCCGCAGCAGCACTCCTTCCTTGTACATGCATATCATAGCTCTCCTACAAACAGTCTACTTTGGCCTTTATGGAAGATGCCATAGCAGTGCTTCATCAATTTTAATACGGCACAGATAAGTCTCGGTGAAATCTATCTGACGAGTTAGTGGTATTAATTCATATTGCACTGCTTTTAATGAGACTTAGCTGTAACTACTGCCAAACTGAGTAATTTTTCAGTAAGTGAACAACTCCTGCAGGCTCAGGGCAGTGTGAGCTGGGCTGGGTTTGTTTCTGTGGAGCAGTAACCGTCCATGCCACATGGCAAAGAAGCCACTAATTACATCAAAAAGTGTTTTATGCTCAAAGCAAGCATAAGGCTGTGCTCTCACATACTAAATGGTTTCTTTTAGAAAGGTAAGAATTCACACAACATTACAATTTCTTTCCACAGTACTCTGTCCCAGCTGTACAAATGACATACAAACAGAAAAACAGAACATTCAGGTCTCATGATATACTGAGGAATTTCAAAACCAAGAACAACATGAGAAAAAAGTTGTTTGGGTTTGAGTTACAACTTGCAAGGAGTGAACTTTAAATGGTTGCTTTTCATAATCTGACACATAAGGTAGTTGGATCCAGACTTAGTTACAATCGGTCTACTATTAAGTATGACTATCAGTTAGTTGCAACTAACTTCCATCCAGTGGATTTCAATGGGCCTGCTCTAAAATTCAATTAAACCTGTATCCAACCCACAATATCTAGCTGACCATTAAGAGAGGGGAAAAAGATTCCTAAAACAGGATTAGTCTAGGTTTGATACCATTTTTATGAAGAACATACTATAAATGCATTCCATAGACACTTGGGACTATGAGAGGGGCATCCTACCTTCCGGAAGGACACTTCAACCTACAAGCCAGAACATTTCTGAACAGGCACAACACGATGCTGAAGCTCTGCATAACCAGGGCATGTGTAAGGGTACTTGTAACATCATAGGATGAAACGTCTGGGGCTTGGGCTCTAGCTACATTTTTCATATGGGTGTGGGGAATCCCCACATTATTGCTGGATTTGAAGGCTATCTGAATAGCCTTTGGAGACACAAGGATCCATCTTGTTTTTGTCTCATGTAACATGCTCAGCATCTGCACAACTTGCATCAGACCATCAAGTGCCTGTTTTACAATTTTGTAAAGATTTCACCAGAACAACATTTTAAAAGTGAATTAAGGGTTGCAACCATAAATCTGAATTCTTATATGCCCTGTTACAGTATATGTAGCATGTGAACACTAACACACTTCATTGGAATTTGCTTGCCAATCACATAATAGTTCAGAACACAGATCACCAGCTGTTAACTAAGAATGGGTGTGTAAGTGGGGCACATGCATACTACAGGGACCCGAGGGATGAAGCGCGCCACCACGCCATCTGCCTGTGAGGGCCTGGGTGCCGCGCAACAAGGACGGCGAGTAAGAATCAGCCTCCCTACACCAAGGTCACTCTCAGTCATCCAGGTACAACGGGGAGAGCATGAGGATGCACTTGGATCCCCCTGGAGGAAGCTGTCCCTCAAGAGAGCCCAGCCACTGAGAAACAAGCCTGCAGGCATCTGACTCTCAGGATGTGTGAAAGGCTGTACCAGGTCAGACAGAAAGCCTATCTAGACCTGTATTTTGTTCCCACCATGACCAAATAGTTATGGGAAGCCCTAAAGCTGAATATGCACGCAATAGTGTCTTCTCTCACATAGCTCCCTGGCAACTGCCATGGAGGCATATTTCCCTTGATGCTGAGGTCATATATAGCCTTAGCCTCAATAAATTTGTTGATTCCCTTTTCAAGATGTCCAAGTGGAGTCATGTTTTTGAAGAAGTCTTTCCTTTTATCTGCCTTGAGTCTCCCACTATTCAGTTTCACGGCTCATTCACTTCACCGACTGAGGTTTCTATGCTCTCATAATGCAAATTCAGACTTGGTTTTATCTCCCTCCCACCAAAGCTACTTGGTATTCTTTATTCAGTAAGTTTAAATAGCCTAAATCAGCCACCACTAAGACAAATCTGTTGTATGTTCCAATTGGACTTCAAATCCAGCACTGCCCACTCATTACGAACTAATACCAAGCCATCAGTGGGGCCTGAATACAGAGATTCCTCTCTAGCAGCTGCAGCAGTCCCATTAGTTCACTGTTTTTCTTTGTGTCAGCTAACTGCTTTCCAGCTGTACAGGCCTATTTTATTCTAGTGACTATTCACCTGCATTTGGAGCCTACTGTTTACTACTTTTGTCATCCCTCTCACTGAGCGTAGAAATAGCTGCGAGTTCTCATTTTAACCTTAGTAAATGTATCATTTAAGCTGCTTCTTGCTTGCTCGCTGGCTGTCACTTGACCTTTCTTAAGTGTGCCTTTGGCCCAATACTAAGCTGTGGGAGGACCTGCCTAGAGAGATTAACACATACTAAAAGGATGTTAAAATAAATATACTTGATCATTCTTGTTTGAATTTTTCTATGGTTAACTTACTGTGGCTATAATACAAAAGAGCACACACATTCTAACATTTGTTCTGAATTCCAAAATTGGTTGATTTTTTTAGGCTGACTACATTCAGTCTGATGCAAATTATGCTAGATCTGAGCAATGCTAAAATATGTATCCATGTGATATCTATTTAAAGCAAGGGTTAGAGTAAAATTAACCAGATAATTAAACATAATATTTAAAGAGCTGTTGAAATACAATGGATCCTTGTTTTAAAACAGCTTTTTAATTGAATAATTTAGTTATTTTGGCTAAAATTCAACAGCTTGAATACAAAGATCCTGGCTGTTCACGGAGTGCGTGTGTCATCACTTTCTATCGCATTCTCCTCTGCAGCTCCCAAGACCATTCCCTGAAGGGTCCTACAATTCTAAACTGATTATTCTGGGGAGGGGCACAATTACACTGCAGATGGAGGAAGGTCAGCAGCCGGACTCTTGAAGTCAAGCCCTGTAGACTGGTACCCTTTCTTGAACAGCTGATTTTGCCTTCATCTCTGAGAACAGGAATCAAAATAAACCACAGTAGTCCATTTGATGACATACAGCAAATTGGACTGATATTTACTGTATGATGTCTCTGGTTTCTAAAATTAAACCAGTTAGAAGAGTCCTTTGCTGGTAGCATCAAAATGTCACTAAAGATCCCTAGGATTTGAGCAGATAACAAAGTAACAGAGCATTTTCAAAAGGATACCAAATTGAGTGCAAATCACTGAGAAAAAAATGAAGGTGCCATTCTATTTTTCTTGCAGACAGAACTGTTTTAACAACAGAGCAGGGGGCTATTTTTAATCCCTCCTGCAGCCCCTCCCGTTCACCCTCAAAATCTGCTCCAGAAAGTTGGGACCCTCCAGAGCAAATTTGAGTGTGTGGAGAAAATCCTATTGTATAAGCCTACTTCTGCTTTCACAACATTGGACTTTGCTCACAGAATTAAAATTTTCTGCTTAGCATTAAGTCATGTAAGGCCTGCCAAATTGCAACCATTAGAAATGTAATCGTTCCGTGGAGTTGTAAACATAGTAATTTTAAAGACAAGACTATTGTCAGTTCTTACCAAGTCCTCAGAAATCTGTTATACCCAGAGAAGTACTCCAAATGTGCAAAGCTGCCTCTATTCAATATGGCAGCTGTCTCTAATCTGGTGCCTTCCTGATGTGTTGGGATCTACAGTCCCCAGTACATCCATCCATTGGCCAAGGTAGCTGGGGCTAATTGGGAATTGAAGTCCAAAACATCTGCCCAACAGTAGACTGGAAAGGCTGTGATGTGGTAAGATCACAGACGACTTGCATAATCAAATATTACCCTTAAGTTTTGACCACACTTTCCCGCCAAGGACTGGTTAAAGCATTATGAAATCAGCAAGCACACCCAGGTACACCTAATGATTTCATAAAGTGCATAATAGCCCTGAACTAAGCTGCATTTTAAGATTTGCAGTAAACGCTAACAGCCGTCTTGCTACATTGTCCATTTTTTAAAAATTCTGAGCAGTCTGCATGAAAAGAAACGATAGACTACATTTTTGCTCATTTAGTTAAATACGGTATTTGTTTCTGTTTGCAGGAAAGAATACACAGAACAGGAGCGAAACAGGATTAATTGAACGCTATTAATTTTGTGTGTTCTCTAATGTCAAAAAGCATTGACTAAATGCAAGTTTTTCTAAAAATCGAAAATGTATGCTCACCTAGCATTATTGCAAGGAGTTCTTTAGCAAAGGTGAGAAACTAATTGAAACAGATTTTGAAACTACGTACACAGGATCAGGTTAATGCTTAAAGTGTTTTTTGATCAAGTTTAATGTTGGAATATTATGAAAACATACCTTAGCATCAAACTGTCACAACAGGGCCTTTGGTCATTAAATGCTTGGACTGTGCATTTGAGATACACAATTTGAGTTTAGTTTAGCTTCAAGTCTTTCCTTTTTAAAAAAAAATTAAAAGCCTACTCATAAAACTGTGATGTGAATTTCTTAGGAATAAATTAGGCAGTTTTCACAATGGTGTGGAGTCACAAACTGAGCCCATTAGGAAGTATTTAAGTGAGTCAACGGCATTAAAAATCCCAGTGCAGAGCATGAGACATGTGAAAGATCTAACAGGATTTAGGCAAAAGGATTAAGAACCATCAAATGGTGGAAAATAGTTATCTTACTGGATATATTTTGACAGAACAAAGAAAACCATTTTCTTAGGGGAAACAGATTTAACTGATTTCTCAAAAACTAGAACTTTAGCTTTTGAACACCAAATAGTATCTTATGTAGTTAATGAACCTAGTTTGGATGGTGCTGAGAGAGAATTGTTTCTTTTAAAGTATCTCCTATATGTGTAAACAGAAAATAGCCTCGTTTCCTGATCTTTTCAAAGCTTTTTGAGAAACACACACAAATAATTAGATTTAGTCAATTTTATTTACAGTTTTTTTGTACATTTCAGAGCATTACACAATTACATTTGCCATATTTTCTGACCTGCAAACAGATACCTTAAATGGAAATATTTTAAAAAAAATATGCAGTTCGGTACATCCAAATGCAACAATTACACATCTGACAGTTCACAAAGTGTAATTTACTAGGACGTAGCCTAAGAATTTAAGAACAAGTAGTCAGGAAAAAAAATCTGACTAATTATTTACACAACACAAAATCTCTCAAACTAAACCCTCCAAGACAATTGTCCTAAGAGTACCCCCCCACCATCCCATAGAAAGTTATGATTCACACCTAATGCAGCATTTACAGCCCTTGATCCCAAATATGGAGGGACTATCCAGACCTGTCTCTGAGCAACTGGCTTCCTCCTAACTTGCCAAAACCTGAAGTTCATACTTCTATTCCTACGTGCATAGCATAACAGTGTTCGGAAAGAAGTGACCACCAAGACCCATTTACTAATGATTAAACATTTCTAACAGAGTTCAAATTAAATTGGTTTCTAAAAAGTTTTAAAGTGGCCAGTGGGAATGAAAGTGTTTTTAGGCATAGGCTGAACTCTTTGGGCCCACTCACACTATTAGGATTAGTCTGGGGTAAAAACCAAAACAACATTCAAGGCTTGGCCAGGACCTAGGCATCTGCATTTCAGGTGGACTATCCAGTTCATGTCAACAACTTCCATCTCTTGTAATAACTGCCCCTCCCCATCCCTTTCCACACATTGAAATGGTATATATAGTGGGTAGAAACTAGTAAAAATTCCCTGCAAATAAACTGCTCTTCAGCTGAGGTTATGGCTCCTGTGCATGGGGTGGTCAGAGGAATTTTAACTTTTACCAAAAAAAAGTAAGTCCTCTTGAAAAATACTGAGCTCTCTCTTTAGGTTAATTTGATTGCATGTACAATTTGTTAAGTATACCTTTCAGTCAAGACAATGCTACAAATGGAAATTTCAGTATAAAAAAGCAGCCAACTGAGTGCAATTTTGTGTTTAATTGGCCAAGTCCTTCATGGTGTTTTAACTAGACTATGTATTTCAAGGAGCCTCCACATTTCTTGCCTACCTTACTTTTCATGTTCATGTTTCAAACTGTGTCAGCAGGGCCCGAACTTCAGGAGTTAGCTGCTTAGCAGCCTTAGCTGCTTCTGTAATGGCCTTGCGGTAAAGACCTTTTCTCTTCTTATTAAATCGCGACTGAAAGTTTTCTAAAAAAGGGGACAGCTGTGAAAGAGCAAGGAAAGATGTTGTTGGGGACCCAAACCATGAAATACGCGCTTCCTGCCGGACTAAAAGGCCGTTATCTTTCCTGCTCACAGTTATAGTAAGAATACGGGCTGGCCACCAGGGGAAGCCATAGATCTTGGCCCAAACAATGTCTCCTACACATATGGTCCTGCCATCTGGTGTGACACATTTAGAGACATTTTTTGAAAAGACTTTCATTTTCAAGGAATTACTGAGCTTTTTCTCTTCCTTTGAAGAGGCCGAGGAGGAGGAAGAAGGTGCATGCATGCTGCCTGGAGGAAAATCAAAGCTTTCAGTAGTGCTACACTCAGAGTTGGTAGACTTCAAGTCATCTGTGCTATCACTACTACACACTGATGCACTGGAAGAGTCAGATTTCTTTTTATTAAGGGTCATGTAAACTGTTATATTGCTTTTGCTGCCTCTCTTGCTCAGTGTCTGCTGTTCATCCTGATCAACAGGAACATGCACTTCATTTGTGTCCTGAACCTCACTGCTGGCCTCTTCAGGACCTTCTGAGGGGCTCTGATTTTCTGAAGGGGCCTCACCTGCTGAGCGGGTAGAGGAGCAGCGAGACTGGGGCTTAGCTGCCATCTTGCCACTCTGCAATTTCTCAAGCCCTGTCTTGAGAGAGGAGTCGTTTTCTTCATTTCGGTACCTTTGTGGCTTTAGGCGCAATCGTGGAGGCAGGGAACCTGAGCTGGTGTTCTGAAGACGCCGTGTGAAGTGGACCTTTGAATGTGCATTTTTGGAAGTAGAGGTTGCACTCTGTTTCTTTTGTGCCTTCTCTTTGGCTATTTTCAAAACTTCCCGAGCTTTTGCATGATCCATGTTTTTGCTCTGGAGAACCTTTTTCGTATTTAACTGTGTTTTTGATGTATTTGCTTGAGTGGGAACTTTGACTACTCTGCTTCTGCTGGCAATAGTTGCAACTTTGACCACAGAATTCTTTTTCTGGCTTTCATTTTGGCTTTTCCCATCAACTTTATGATCAGTTTTAATTTTTTTATTCACAGTAGTTATGCTCTCATTCCTTCGTTTTCTACTATCCTCATACCTTGAGGAATCACTTGCATTGCTGCCCTTCTTGATTTCTTTTTTTTCTGCAACAATACTGTTCTTACATTTGTCACACAAGACCTGTCTTGGTCGTAGTTTGATAGCATTCATAATAGAAGTGGGTTCCTCCCTGTACATTTTCCGCTTGGGCCGTTTAATCTTCCGAGGCGGAGGCTGAGGTATTGACTGGTTATATGTGTCCCTGATAAACAAAGGAGGAGGATATGGTGCTCCCTCATGGAAAAGGGGAGGTGGTTTGGAAGTCCATAGGCTTTTTGCCAGGTTAGGTTCTGATGGCTGGATGGGAGAAGAGTCTGTGACAACACCATTGGCTTCACACTTCACCTGGGTCTCATCTTGGAATGATTTGCTTTGGAGCTGCATTGCTTCAGGTTTATCCTTATACTCCCTTTTGGGAAATATGGTCACGGGGATTCCATGAGGTCCAAACCTTAACAAGAGAAACATATGCAGAGTTAACTGAGAGTCTACTAAATACATCTTTTCACAGCCTTTAAGATGATATTTCTAGATAGCATTATTAGCTAATATTCAGAGTTCATGAAGTCAAGCTTGTTATTTTGAAACACACCAAAGCCAGGCTAGACCAGAATATCAAGGATAAGCAAAACGCACAAAGCAAAAACCAACTGCTTCTTTCCTTTTCAGTGCTTAAGCACTTTCTGCATCTCCCCTAGAGCAGTAATTTAAACACTTTCCGCCTTGAGGGAACTCCTTCCACGTTGACATCCCTGCAGCAGAACCTGTGTGTTATTACAAAACCTTCTGGGGATCCTCTGGTGAAAGAAGATATTTACTAGGCCCAATGCCTTGCATTGTTGCCATATCAATTGAGGGTGCAATGCAGAATGGCAGAGATGGATATGCTACCTCTCAGAAAAAGTTGTCCACCATTACTCATTTTTTTCATGTTTTTCTGGATTTATTTATTTATTTGGAAAACCAGTGCTCTTGGGGGCTAATGATCTGTGGGATCCAATATGCTTGCTGCTAGAGGAAGTTACAGAACCATAACTATATGGGCCAGAGCTGAATCATGAAACTCTATTAACCGGTTTTCCAGTTCCAGAATGATGCAAGACAAACCTGCCCTACAGACAACACAAGGAATCTAACTATGCCAGGTAAAAACACAGATCATACCCATCTGGTATGCACAGAGCAAGGATCAGGCTCTTGGTATTCTGTCTCTAAGATGTGAGGATCTCTGTTGCTGCATCTGAGTGTCTGCAAGTCTGGCGTGAAGGGGAAGGCTACTCTTCCTGCAGGCCCTCTGGCATGCTAGTTGACCACAAATAGTGCAAGACCAGTCAAAATGCATGGCCCCCTTATCTCTGCTCAAATCCATAGAGATATAACCTTCTTGTAGGTTGGACATAGACCACATCACCAAAGGCAGTTTTGTTAACCCACAATAAATTTGCTTAACGGGCATTGCTATCTTTGGCAAAGACAGCATATTGCTAGAGCCAGGACTGGACAGAGAAGCAGGACATTTAGTTTATCAAGTTTAAACTGAGTGAATTTGACAGAAAAGATCTGCAAACCCTTAACTGCACAAGCTGTTCATGGATCTATTGCATATAAGATGTCTAATGCACACCAGAAAGGCTTGCGTGTAGTTATGTCTACGGTGCTGCAGTGCTAACACATGAAAGAACCTTATAGCATGAAGTGAGAAGCCTCCTCTATGATGTACCAAGCTAGCCTTATACCCTGCAGCATAGCTGAGACTTGATGTAAGAAAGCACTCAAACAGGTGGGATGTTACCTACAACTTCTATGCAGTTGAACCTCAACTTCCACGGGTTTAACTTTCATGGATTAGATTATCTGCATATTTGCCATCATCAATTAAATGGACCTTTTTAAAAAGTTTTGTGGCCTATTGCAGAAAAACAGCAGCAGCAGCAGCAGAAGGGGAGGGGGGCTTCTAAAGCATGCCTTCTTGCCCCATCTATCCAGAGAGGGGAGTATCTCCAGCATTTCCTTGGTGCAAAGAGAATGAAAGGGAGGGTGGGGAATAACATAAGAATGTAATAAATGAAGAGAATATGATCTGAGAGGAAGAAGCAATCCAGTGTACATACGGTCAACAGTATTGAGTGTTACGGTTTTGTGAGGGGGAGGGGCTAGAAATATTTGCAGTTTTTCCACTTTCGTGGGGGGCCTGTGACCCCAACACCTACAAATGTGGAGGGCATTCCACCATATATTAGAAGCATGAGACTAAGGCAGGGATCTGATAACCAGTGATTACATATTTCAATCTTCTGCATTCTTTTATACAGTCCCACAGATGGAACTATAAACTCAAAGGAACTCAAGGTAACCAATGTCTTTCTTTGAAAGTCAGTGCATATTCACTGTCCTTTTGTAATCAATCTTCTGATTTAATGTCTGATACTTTATTTCCTTCAGAACCTGTGGATGACTATGCTCTGATTCACCACCTCCATTATCCTCATTATTCTCTACCCATGCCCACCAAAACATTCCACTATCTTATATAAGTACATAAGAAAAACTATGTTACCACTTCTATGTGAGAAACAGTATATATGAAGAATTCACTCCTCCTTCCCAATAACATCCACTTCACTGGACAGTTGTCCAAATTTAAATCACAAGATACCCTTGAGATAGGTTCAACTTCATGTTTCCGCTGTCAAGAGGGGAAAGAGAGCAGGGAAATGCATGATTTTTCTGGAAAATACTGATCCATGTTGAGGCTGACAAGCCTTGACTATTACATTAGTCTTCTTTCCTCACCAAAACAGGTGGGGGTATTTTGCATACTGTTTTCAAAATAACATGAAAATAAGCAATCTTGCTTTTTTTCATCCCTACAGCAAGTCTTTAAAACTGAAATCACTACATTATAAAGTATTACAAATGGGAAATTCAATCAGCTTTATTTAATTTCTGCTCAAATTGGTTTGCAAATGAAATAGCCTAGGATTAAGTGAATACAATGGTACCTTGGCTCACGAACTTAATCCGTTCCAGGACTCTAGTCGTGACCCAAACTGGTTGGGAGCCAAGTCAAATTTCCCCATAAGGTTCAATGTAAATGAGGCTAATCTGTTCTGTAACTACTTTCTTTAATCAGAAAAATCTGAAGCAGTGACAAAGAACAAAGATTGCAGCCACCCCCCCCCCACCCCGAGCGTGGCCATCTCTCCCGCTCCCCAGCAAGGCTGTGATCACGCCCGTCATCCCTGCATGACTGCGATCACATGTAAGCAGTAAATAGGTCTGCTCAAAACCTACAATGTTTTCTACATGTAAGGTCTTTTTTTAAACCTTTTTTTTGCTGTGCCACCACAACTTATGTCTTCATCTTCCACAACTTTTGCTTTTATCTTTGTAAAGGTTTGACCTTTTCCCCTTTGTACAGACTAAAGGAACACCCATCCTTTCTCAATATGATCTATCCTGATGCAAGAAAGACAAGCCTTAATACATAAAGGCTTTTAAAAATGCTGACCTAAACATTTTAACCAGCATCAGAATAGCTAGGTTCAGCACCTGTATAGATTAGTCCAGTATACAAAAATATTTAATCTAGTTCTGGGTGTTTCAAAAAAAGCTATATAAAAATGAAATAGTCTATTTACTTTCTAAATAAAATTATACCAAGATAAAGAAAGAAATTCAATCACGGCCCAGGTGCACAATATAAGTGGTCATTTCTGCAGAGTCAAAATGAAAGAACCAAATATCTTTAAAGGCACATATTCAGGAACAGAGGCATATTAATGCTGCAAGTTAATCAGGATGGCCACCACTGGGATTATGCTAACTTATCCATGCCAAAAATCTAAGACAGGGTGGGTTTCTACACATATGCACTCCAGATAAGGAGGCATCTCACAAACACTACATTGCATTTGTATTTGAAGTCTAGCTTTGAAGGAACTCAAGATTGACATTTTTGCTTCATGGTCTCCCTGTGATTAGGCCTACACAAATACACAGAACAGTCTCACAAGGAACACCTGGACTTAAGATACTACTCAAACATTACATGTCAGGTCAACATCACAGTAAAAAGACACAACAGTTTAAGACAGAGACCACTGAAGAAGCAATGCATGTTTCTCTTCCAGAAGTAACAATTAAGTTTATATATGAAAAAGTAAAGATCACACCATTAAGAAGCTAAACCTGTTCCTAGTAAATCCCATGTTATGGCAGCATGTTCTCCTGAACTGAGTCCACAATTCTAGCTCATTTTTTTCTGACAGAATTTCATGCTGCATCCCAACAAGACTGACTCCACAAAACACCGCTAATTCTAATGTTTAGGTGCCCCTATGAACTCTCAAGGGCAACAATTTACTATTTCTATTGCATTTCATCTTACACTGCCATTTATAACCTGCCTTTTTTCTTTTGTGAGGAACCCAAGCTCTTTTTATCCTCACAACAATCCTCCTGTGAGATAAGTCAGGCTGAGAGGTTTGCAATATTTATTTCTGTGCCTATTTAAAAAGAATTTACTCAGTATGTTTCTACAACAAGAAGTTTTCAACTGGTTCAAAAGCATTTCCCATAATTCCCAGTGAGAAAAAGAGGTACCTTTTCTCCTCTGGCTGTAGTAACTTGACCTGCCTTGATAGAAATCCTCAAGTGTTACTTCTGCTGTTAAGGGGAGCCTAAGTCTCACTTTGGGTACAAATACCATTTTTACTTCTATCTAGCAGCAGTGGCTGCTCTTCCATGCTGAGTGTGTGTGAGGAAGGTATTTTACAGGTTGCATCAGGTCTGGTGACCAAATTGACTAGTCCTACCCTTCTAGCTTAAGGACCACTTAAGTGAAAGTCATCTGAATTTCACATGGGGCATCTTCCATCTTTAGAGTCATATTTGGCTGCAAAAATACACCACAGTTCTGCAAATCTGTATGCATCAAACACACAAGTATCAAAATCTAAAGATACAAAAGAAGCCCTTAACAGCACATTATCACTTGTTTTGCAGCTATAGATCTGGTCTGCACAACATCTCATGGTTCATTCTTTAGTTAACCCATGTCAAGCCACAACAGCCACTTGGATGTTGCAGTGTCATGAAAAACTAGCATGTATGGGCTCTATAAGAGTTTAAATAAACCCTCACTTAACCCATGGCCTATACTTGGGTTATACAAGGTTTTTTTAAATCTCATATAACCCAGGCTCACCAGGTTTGCATGACAGAGCAAGCCCCAGTCAGGTCTTGTATATATAGTAGCAACATATGCCCCACTAGCCCAGACTGCTTATTCAAGATGTTATATGCAAGTCATACATTCACTTGGTGGTGCACTGGAAATCCTCCAGTTTTATTTCTGCTGTTAAGGGGATACGAAACCTCACTTTGGGCACAAACACCTTTTTGACTTCTGTCCAGCAGCAGAGGCTGCTCTTCGGTACTGAGAGGGAATATGGAAGGCATTTTACAGCTTGCAAGGACCACTTCAGTGTAAGTCATTTGAATTTCACATGGGGCATCTTTCAATATAAGATACTATAAGAAATGTTATATACTTGGCGAAAACAGAGTGGGGTAACAGGTACTATTGGAACATCACTTTGCACCTTTTGCTCACAGTACATACTGCTGATTGGCTGTATTCACAGAAGTTCTGAACTGTATCTAATTGCGATCAAACATCTTCATGGCTGCCTCATACTTTTTATAAAGCAGCTCATTATTTGGTGCTCTACAGTACAGTGAACTTCCATGGCCTTCTGATAAAAATATGCAACATGCGCACCCTGAATTTCAAAATAGTGGACTTGCTTCAGATGTACCCAAATATACAATTCAGAAATGGGGCTATAAACATGACCAAAGGAAATATCCTTCCCTATAAGGATAGGTTAAAATATCTGGGGCTTTCTCCCACTCTGATTTATTTTCCTATCCACCTAATAATCAGCTGGCAATTGGATTTACTCTCCATTCTTGCCTGATCATCCACATATCTTTTTGCCTGTTTCAAGCAAGGAGAGTGAGATGGATAGGTTGGCTTATTCAGCATCACTTTCATATTACTATCTTTATTACTCCATTTTATTTATATCCTGCCTTTTTAGTATTGTTAGAATTACAGTATTTCATTTAGATCACATCATCTTCCACTTCTTGAGGAACCCAAGGCAGCTTACATAACCCCATCTTATCCTCACAACTGCCCAGTGGGGTAGGTTAGGCTGAGCGTGTGTGCCTGGACTAAAATCACACAGTGGTTTTTGTTGCTGAGTGGGGATCTTTAGGTCCACTGTCCAATGCTCCAATCACCACACAGCAGAAAGTAATGGCATTCTTTCTTCCACACTGCAAAAGCTGTCAGACAAAAAGGGCTTCTAGTGGGAAAGTTGAGGGAGGCAGCGAGAGCGCGCTATCTGCCACAACTCAACTAGGGGAGGACAGCACTGAAAGGAGGCGCATTTACATTTACAAATGAAAACAAGTTGGGGCAAAGGGAATCGCTACATTTATGTCACTATATTCTAAGCAGTCTTTATTGATCAAGTTTTTGTATCTTCTCTCTTATCCTTTTGTATTTTTCACTGCTGGTCTTTCTCCCTAAAGCTATCTTAGTAATAAGCGTACACAGACCTTTAGCTAGATGTATATAGATGACCCATCTGATCTCATCACAAAATGCTCCTAAGCAAAATGCTACTGCAGCATTACTAAAGCTAAAGAAATTTGAAAAGCAGAGATGGGTAGAAACTACAAACCCATGCCCCATCTTTATTCAAACTAACGTACTTGCACATGTCAGCAAAATTTGATGCGACAATTTCTTTCTCCTCAGCAGGAATATCTGCTCTAAACTTGTGGTTAGAAACTGAATTTCTAACAATCCAAATGAAGGATGAGGCAAATGCATTATTCCAGTGCTATCGCTGTGCCTACAGACTACTACAAGAGCTAACACATAGCCTGTGAGATATCCTTCATTGATGACCTGCTGTGATAAGCACATTTGTAATACATTAGTTAGACTGACAATTCCTAATAAATCACCAGTAAAGACAGAAACTTGGGTTCCGTTTTGACCCAGTTCTTAAACTTCCTATGAAACCATGGGCCTATATCTGACAACTACTAATCCTTTTCTGATCCCTTGATTTCAGTTCTTTCCAAGCAACAGTGCATGTCTAACTGCTAAAGATATGTTTTAGAAAGGATTTAGAGAATACTGTAGTTGAAATACAAGAGGAAAATGTAATCTGAAAATATTTTGCCTACCAAAAAGAACTGAAGATGCAAATCTATATACAGTAATACCTTGGCTCAAGAACTTACCGTCCTTTCCCGTGTGTAAGATGCTTTTTCTTAAAAACATTTACTTAAAAATGAAGGTGTGTCTTATACACAGAGGGCCATGGGCGCGCTGGTGGGGGAGAATGGCGTGGGGGGGGGCGCCAAAGTGGCATGTGGGGGCACGTGGCAGCAGCTTGCTCGCTGGAGATGGGCAGGAAAAGCGGGGGGCATCCTATACATGGGGACATCTTATAGATGGAAAAATACTGTAATCCATTCCAGGACTCTGGTCATTACCCAAGTTGGTCATGACCCAAGTCAAATTTCCCCATAAGGCTCAATGTAAATAAGGTTAATCCGTTCTGTAACTTTTTAATCACAAAAATCTGAAGCAAAGTGACAAAGAACAACGGAGGTTGCAGCCATCTCCCCCCACAACACAACCACGATTGCGACCATACATGTGTGCGATTGCGGGCGCACTTGGGGGTTGGAGATGGGTGCGATCACGGGCGCGCTCGGGGGGGGGGGAGATGGGCACCATCGCAGGCATGCTTGAGGGGAGAGATGGGCGATGGGGAGTTTGTGACCTGAGGCAAAATTTTTCAGAACTTTCTGTTCACAACCCAATTTGGTCGTGAACTGAGGCGTCTGTGAGCCGAGGTACCACTATGAGTTTTATTCTTGGCTGGGGGAAGCCCAAGTGAAGCAATGTCAAACTGGCTCACTCACCATTGATTCTTGGAGTGAAGGGA